ACAAACTACACAATTATAGTCTGACAGGATGGATTGGTAGGCTCACCTTTTAGTTGTGGCAAAGGTGTTGCGTGGTGTTCTGGATGACGAGAATCGTGAGGATGGGTTGGAGACTGGAGGTAAGAAGAGATGCAATGCGGTGGAACTGACCCCCACGAGCTCAATTTTGTGTGTTTGGGTTGTCGATATGTTCGTGCTCACAAATTGAGTCACGTCACCAACCCCATTTATGTGCTGTTTGTTTGTTTGTTTGTTTTTTTTTTTTTGGGTCGGGCAGCCCGAACATTCTCGAACGCATTATACGGGCGTATAGCGCATACCGTATATACGTATCCGCATGTACTGTATACGGCAGCCATCCCTGGTGTATACCGCAACACAGCTTAGTGGACCCATCTTGATGATGTACGGCATGGGGAGAAGGTCTTGCTGAGTGGCCTCTGCTGGGGGCGAAATGCCTTGCTGGAGTGGAGCGAACAGCATTGGAAGATGCTTGCACAACAACTTTCTCGAAGGTGAGCTCCTTGGTGGAGAATTGTTTGAGCAGAGAACTAGCTTCAGTGTAGGTTGGAATGAGACCAACGAGAAGACCAGCAGCAGGGGCTTGTTCGGGAAAAGTGATCCCAATGTCGTTAAGCTCCTCATAGATATTGGGGATCTCAAGAATGTAATATGCAATGCTTGGGCATTTGGATTTGGAACATACAAAGGGAAAGGACGTGCGACTTCCATTGCAGTTTTATAATGGAAGAGGTTTCGATGGGTAGGTCCATATGGCATGAGCCGAACAGAAGGTGCAGTATAAGGTTCTACTGGAGTGGTGGTGACGAAGACCCTGATGACTACTGCATCCGTCTGCTCCCACACGATGAAATCAGCCTGAAATCTCTCCATACCGAGGTGGCGCCTTTGTCGAGAGGGGCCGGAGGAAGAGGCATCTTGCCTTTGCCGTGCTTGAGAAGGATGTCTTTGATTCAGATCCCCTTCCTTTCTGTGCGGAGGTGTTTCTCCACTCCATGACACCATTAGCCAAAGCTGGTGCTCGTACAGTTTGGGGCAAGGTTGCGTATGTGAGATTCCTGTTGAAAGCTGAAGCTGCCATTGCAATAAGCACAGCACTCAAGTCACGGATACGTACTTCGAAATAGTTAGTCAACAGTATGGCTACTGAAAGCAACCAGCCCACCAAAATGAAAGCTAGAACCACTGGGCCCAGCTCCACTAACTAGTGTGAATTAAAGGGCCCAGCTCTATTCGAAAGCAACCAGCCCACCAAAATGAAAGCTAGAACCATACTCTGAAATGCCAACTTTCTCCACGCGAAATCAGTGGCAACATGCCCACCCACACTTAATTCTATGGGCCATACTTGCTCGTGAAGCCTCGTGGACGTTCGTGGGGTTTCGTGGCGACAGCTCATAAAATTACCTGATTAATTCGCGCAGTTACGCGACGAAATTACGAATCCGTTGAAGTTATTCTCGCACATTTCGCACCGCTTCGAATGTAGTCCGTGCTACACCCTGTGTCCGTGCTACATCCGTTACGGGGTGTCCGTGCTACATCCGTTCACTTCGGACACCCCCTTACAAACGAACTCATTAAAACCAATGAAAACACAACTCCGAAACTTCACCTGAAAACTCAGGAACTCGCACGGAATCACACGAACATTTCACGAACAAACTCATGATCATTCACGACACTTTCATGAACACTCGTGACTCCAAGAACACACGAAATAACACGAACACATACGAAATCTCGGACTTTCTCGCGCTCACTCTCGAACACCCGTAAACACTCATGAACTCTCACAAATGCGACCCTTCACAGAAACGCTCATAACTCACGAACCGTCGAGGCGATTCACAAACCGTAAACGCTCAAACGTAAAGCACAGAAATGCACAACCCACACAGAACAAATTACCTTCAAACCAAAAACTTCATTTACCTTCACCGTCGGCGAATAGGCGGTAGGTTGTCATGCAAACCATGCATTGCACCCAACACATACCATGTCAAATAAGGAACAATAGATGGATACGAAAAGAAGGCACATGGTCTTCAGTACAAAGAAACTAGGGAAGTGGAGGGATAAATGGAGCTGCTAAGTGCCCACTTGATATGAAAGAAAGAAAGAAAATATTTGACAGCCTAACCCCACATTAGTTCTGCTCTTGTAAGTTAGGATTGTACAGCATGCCCTAAGTTTATCCCCTAGTAGCCTAGTTTCCCTCAACCTGTGTGAGGCCGCTTCCGTTGTTCTATTTTGCTAGAACACTTCACAACAACCTTTAACTAGCCGTGATAAGAGTTAGAGTAAATGGTGGGATAGGTGGCGGATGGGGGTGGGAAGGGGGGGGGATGGGGGAAGATTTAGGGATGGAGAGGGAGGGGGCTGGGAGTTGAGGCGAACATTCATCTCTTGATGTGAGTAAAAAGATACTTGTGCTGAGTAATTCAATACTTGACATTTTGGGCAAATAATGAGAGGGGCCGAGGAATAAAATGCTCACTTCGATCATTACTCGACTCACCTCGATATGCAGACCAAAGTTGGCAGAACTAAGTCTAAGAAGGGACTTAAGCTTCCCATGTTTATCCTTTTCATGTACACCTGTTTCAATGCTCCTCATTTCCCTCATCAGTAATCTTTCGTTCAACAACCTGAATGGCAGCATCCCAGAGTCCATTGGCAACCTCGTACAACTCTCAGACCTGTAAGAGCAACCCTAGTTCTTCTCACTATTTCCCTGGGAGTGGTGAAGTTGGCTTGGAGGCCTATTAGAGTACTAGGCTCTAGGCCATGGAAATTAGATGGCAACGGAAAAGGGTGGATTAGCAAAAGGTGTGCGGAGCTGACGGAAGTTGGGGAGCAGCAGGTGGCACACTGAAGATGTGCGAGTAGCAAGCATGAGAGGTTGCACAAATGGCGCGGTTGGTGGGGAGGATGTGTTCGGACAGCACGCATACATGGGAGTGGATGGCTGCAACTTGGAACAACGTGACGATGAGGAAATGAAGGATGCGGCGAAGGGGAGAGTGAAGGGGCATGGAAAGGCAGGAGGAGTGTGCAAGATCAAGTTAAGTTTGAGATCAAAAAATTATAAAATTCAGAGAAACTCTGGAGACAGAATTGTCACTTTAGAAGTGTCTGCTGAGACGACCAATAAGAGAGCCTGTGGCAAGAAAACAGACAATAAAGGCCTATCTGGACCGCAAAATACACTGGTCCGCGCGGATGTAGCAGTAGATACACTGACGAGCCATGAGCCATGTTGGCGCCTGCTCGGCTCGTCCACAGGGCGGCTCGTCAGTGTATAGCATATTCACCTCTACCCTACTCCAACATTAAGTGCCATCTGAACCACAAGATACGAGGCTAAAAAATGAGGCTATTACATGATATGTGTTTTCTTAGAGTGTCTCTGGTTGTTTTGGAGATAGAAAAGAGAAGCTGGGCAGATAATTTCAGTTTATTGCTGTCTCAAGCTTGACCGTCAAGCGTTAACCAAACTCTGAGTGCACTTTGGGGGTTGGGCGATTCCTTTTTATTTTTTTTGTTCGAGTTTCCAACTTCTTGATCACTGTTGTTGCTTGGTCTCAAATGTTGGTCAATCTGGTTACACAACTGTGGACTTGAGCATAGTATCGAACTTTGGTTTGGTTTGAGTCAAACCAGTTCGTTTGTGTGTATGTGTGTGTGTGTTTGTGTGTGTGTGTGTGTGTGTGTATGTGTGTGTGTGTGTGTGTATGTGTGTGTGTGTGTGTGTGTGTGTGTGTGTGTGTGTGTGTTTGTGTGTGTGTGTATGTGTGTGTGTATGTGTGTGTGTGTGTGTGTGTGTGTGTATGTGTGTGTGTGTGTGTATGTGTGTGTGTGTATGTGTGTGTGTGTGTGTGTGTGTGTGTATGTGTGTGTGTGTATGTGTGTGTGTATCTGTGTGTAACCGTTCATATCGGTTCCACATTGAACATTGGTCGGTTCGACAAGTTTTCGGTTTGCACTGAACCAACAGAGGTTCTATGTAGAAAACTGAACAATTAGGGCATTTGGTGGACAACTAGAGGTTCGACCCAAGCCGGAAAAGGTTCAACCACATTAAGCTTCAACCACCTCTAACCCCTACCCACTGTGTTTTGGTTAGGCTTGAACTGGGCCGGTTTGGTTCGGCTAATTGGCAGTTTCGACTCGGTTCAAGTCGATCTGGTTCGGGTTCAGTTCTTGCTCCTGTCTACCCGGTTACTATTTTCTTGGTTTCGAGGTGATCAAAGCTTCTCCATAACTGAGGCCAATGCATCCCTTGATCAGTGCATCCCTAATAGACCATTGCTATGTAGAACTAAGTCACTGATACTTCTTATCCACAGATGGGTCAATCTGTCAATTCTATGCAAAAAAAATAAAATGCTCCATGCAGGGATGTATCACAAACCAATCTGACAGGACAGCTCCCCCCAACATTGGGCAAACTTTCCGAGCTTAAGAACGTGTAAGTAATGCATCTGTTTTCTCCCTAAAATGCGGCAAACCATGCATGCAAAGCTTGCCTGCTAGCACTTTTAAGGACCAGGACACAATTCGACTTTTGCTGCTGTTTGCTTCAAAATCCTACTCCAAGTTGTATTCACCGATATTCTGTTCTTGTAATGAACTGATTTTTGTGCTTGCACATGCAGGAACCTTACTGAGACCAAAGTCACGTGCCCGCCTGACAGCACTTCATGTGTGGTTCAGCAGAATCCTCAACGTTTTTTCTGCATCGTGTGCCTCTCCTTCTGCATCACTTGTGTCCAGTCAGCACCAAGTGAGCCAAAAAAGAGATCAATAGGTTTTCTTTGTTATCTCTGGAACATCACTTTCTGTAAAATCGATTTTTGGCATTCAGTGACCATTAGACATGAGCAGAAGCCCGAGCCTAGGGCTCGGTTCGGAAGCAAGCCAAGTTCAAGTTCGCCTTTCGCTCATGCCTAGACTTATGCACCCCTCCCCAACTTATGCACCACATGCCTAGACTTATGCACCCCCCCCCCCTCCTGATTGCAGCGCCCCCTTTCCTACCTCTAACCCCCCCCCTTTTGATTGCAGCGCCCCCTTTCCTACCTCTAAACCCCCCCCTTTTGATTGCAGCGCCCCCTTTCCTACCTCTAAACCCCCCCCTCCTGTTTCCAGCGCCCCCTTTCCTACCTCTAACCCCCCCCTTTCTGATTCCAGCGCCCCCTTCCCTACCTCTAGCGCCGCCCTTAACGACCCCATCCTCCTCCTCAGCACCCGCCTTCTTGCCTGGAGCTTTTACCGACCTCCAGAGCCCCCCACAACAGCCCCAGTCTGGAGGCGGTTTGTCTGTGGGAGGGAAGGCTGGCATTGCTGTGACTGTTGTGATGCTGCTCATCTTTGGCGTGCCAACGTGGTGGACAATCCAGAAGAAACGAGCAGAACGTGGAACAGGTATTGAAAATATTTTAAAGGGTAGTTTTCAGTCCAATGCTTCCCATCCTTCCATGCTTCTCTCAATCCCCTCCTTTAGTAATCATGAGATTTCCGTCCATTAGTGCAATTACAGTGCAATAGGTTAAGTTCTAAAAGAGGGATGTCATGCATACTGCGTATACATTCTTGCATATCTTCTCGCTTTGGGAAATGAGGGAGAGCGAGAAGGAAGAGGGAAAGGGGATCGCCTAGTGATAATTTCGCTAGTGACAATTTCGCCTTTGTTCTATTCTAGGTGTAGCAGACTGCTGAGGTGAAACGTGAGAATGTGCGACTTTGAGATCTGCAAACAAAACGAATTCATAAGTTATGTGTCACAATATCGCCCCACTAATCCGTAACTTATGTGACCACTGATGCAAACGTGGAAAGTTACTCATAAATTATGTGACACGCTGACACCCACTATCACCCCACCAATCACCTCATGTGAGCAGGAAATGGCATGAATGAAGATTCTGAGGAAGCAGCAGTGGCAGCGGTGGCAGCAGCAGCAGCAGCAGCAGCAGCAGCAACACCACCACCACCACCACTAGCAGCAGCAGCAATGGGGTCCCAGGATCAATACGTGGCAGTGGAGGTGGGATTGGATATTGAAAAGGATGTAGCACGGTCGCATGTGTCTCAGAAGTACTCTTTGGAGGAGCTTGAAAGGGCAACGGCGGAGTGGGCAGAGGAGAACAGGATTGGCAGCGGCAGCTTTGGCGATGTGTACAAGGGCGTGTCTCCTCAGAGCTGCTCTCAATTGTGGGCAGTCAAGCGTGCGAGAGTACTCACCAACGATTTCCAAACCGAGGTAAGAGGTATAACACAACGAGTTTTGCATGTATCTCCGCTCAGTATCTGTTCAAGCCTTGTTTCCCCAAAATGTTTTTTTTTTTGCCCCCTCTGTCATGCCCTTGCATCGCCCTGCCCTTCCTTCCCCTTGCCCTTCTCTCTTCTCTCCTTTCTTCGCCTCCCCTTCCTTCCCAGGTAAAGGAGATGGCCTGCAAGCACCAACCACATCAAAACTCTCCCTCCTCCACACCCCTTGCCTCATCGCCCTCCCCTTCCTTCCCAGGTGAGGGAGATGGCATCGAAGCACCATCCGCATCTCGTCCGCCTGCTGGGCTACTGCATCGACTTCAACCCATCCACACGCAACATAGAGCAGATCCTCGTCTACCAGTACATGGAGAACCACGACCTTGAGAGCTGGATCGGACCCCGTGCCTCCCACCCTCTTTCCCAGATGTGCTGATTGGAGTGGCGAAAGGGTTGCAGTATCTGCATGAATTGGGCATCGTGCATCGCGACATTAAGCCAGCCAACATTCTCCTTGATGCAAGAATGCAGGCATGTTTCTTGCTCATCTATTCATGTTGCATAGATATTGGAAACTTGTTGCGTGCAGTGCAAAGTTCATAGTATTTCAGAGTCCTCTACCACTACATCCCAACTTCGATGATTTTTAGATTCTTTGTACTCACGCACATCTAAGGTATAAATCGGACTTAGGGCTGGTGGTAAGCTGAGTGGAGGCACCTAATGGGTACCTCTATGGGTACCTCCATGGGTACCTCTATGGGTACCTCTATGGGTACCTCTATGGGTACCTCTATGGGTACCTCCATGGGTACCTCTATGGGTACCTCTATGGGTACCTCTATGGGTACCTCCATGGGTACCTCTATGGGTACTTCTATGGGTACCTCAGTGGCTTCTACGCGAATGGTGGGCACACCGGGCTATGTTTACCACCACAACCCAAGTCTAACAATGTTCTTTGTGCTCATGGATTTCTGATTTACGAGCAGGCCAAGATAGCGGACTTTGGCCTGCTGAAGCTGAGTGGAGGCACCACTATGGGCAGCTCAGTGGCTGCCACTAGATTGATGGGCACTCCGGGCTATGTGGACCCCGCTTACTACAAGACACACAAGGTCACACCAGCAGCAGACGTGCACAGGTGGGTGGTGAACATTGTACTAGGGTAGGTGAAAGCTCTCATGCTCTTTGCATTGCATGTGGTATTTTTGGTTGCTCACGCTCTTTCCCATTGCATGTGGTATTTTCTGTTGCTAACGCTCTTTCCCATTGCGTGTGGTATTTTTTGTTGCTCATGCTCTTTCCCATTGCATGTGGCATCTTCTTTTGCTCATGCACTCCCGCTGGCAGCTTTGGGGTGGTGATGCTGGTGGTCATAACGGCACGCAAGGCTGTTCACATGGCAGACAATATTCATATCAACCTCAAGCAATGGGTGAGGCTCACCTTTCAGGTGCCCAAAAAATCGCTGATTATCTAGCTGCATTAAAACAGCCGTTTTTTTACACCTCAAAAAACGGCCGTTCACATGACAAACGACATTCACAACAACCTCAAGGAATGGGTGAGGCTCAAATTTGAGGGGCCTACAAAAAGGCTGTATATTTTGGCGCGTAAAAATAGGCTGCTTTGTTACGCGTTAAAAGAAAAGGGAGATCTTATAGGCGCCTAAAAAAACATATTTCCGAGGCGCCAAAAAAACGGCAAAACGTTGAGGCACCTAAAAACAGACAAGTTTTTGTAGACGCCTAAAAAGGGCAGATTTCTTTGTTGCCCCCACGTCACTCTCAACCCATGGTAAACTTTATTCAGGTCAACCTCAAAAACTGGGTGAGGCTTAACCTACGCATACAGGCATGGGGCCACCAAAGCCAGTGGGTTGGACTTTGCATCCCAACCCAACAAATGCAGTGGCTTATCACGTTTTGAGCCATCTCAAAACTTTGCATGCCTACCCAACAACTGCAGGGGCTTATCCTTGCCTAATTCTCCAGCCTATTTCTGGCGTATCTGAAGTTCACCCTTACTAGAGCGCGCTGGGTTCTTACCGGGTCTCCATGCTTCCAACCCTCCATGCAGGTGGCTCACCTCGTGGCATCTTGCGACGTAACAGCATTCACGGACCCTCACTTGGATCCTCACCGTTACTGTAGTGTGCCAGAATGTTACCACGCCTCCATTCTTCCAACCCTGCATGCAGGTGGCTCCCCTGGTGGCATCTGGTGCCGTAGCATGTTTCAAGGACCCTCACTTGGACGCTCACCGTTACTGTAGCTAGTCTTCTTACCGCATCTCCACCCTTGCAACCCTGCATGCAGGTGGCTCCACTGGTGGAATCTTCTGTTGTGGAATCCTTCAAGGACCCTCACTTGGATGCTCCAGATGACTCGCCACTATAGTTGTAAATCATATTTCTACGGCTTGATTTGAGATCTGTTGTGCGATCTCAGTAAATACGCATCCCCGATGCTCGAAATCGTCAAACTCATTGAAGCTCGCACGAGCTAAGCTGAGAAGAATCGTGTCACCTGGAGGAGTGATGAGAGCACATGACGTGGCGGGGAAAGGTGGAGGAGGTGACACTTGGGCAGCAAATGGAGGGAGAGAGGTGGTGCAAGGAGACAGTAATAGTATGTTTATGGTGTGGAGCAGCTGAGACGTTCACCAAAGTCAACGCAACACTAACTTGGGAGAGCAGCAGCGGAGACTGCATGCATGGCTTGCTGCATTGTGAAAGAGGAACCCAAGAAAGTCTGAAAGAGAGTGACAGAGGAGCCCGAGGCAGAAAGCTGGTTGGGCTTGACTCAAGAATGACAATGAACCCAAGAACGTTACTGCAGCAATGACTCGAAAGTGCTGTCTCAGAAGCAGCACGCATGGCTTGCTCCAACACACTCAATGAGAGCGACTGAGAGACCAGCGGCGTGAGCTGGCTGGAGTTGACTCAACAACAATGACAGCAACACTCACCAGGGAGAGCTGTCTCGGCAGCAGCATGCATGGCTTGCTGCATTGTGGTGCTCTGAATGAAAGGGGCAGAAACATCCCACCCGAGTATGTGAGCTTTTATGAGTCGACCCGACACTGACCACGGACCCCAGGCAGTGGGCTCTAGACTCACCAGGGAGAGTTGTGTCTGCAGCAGCATGCATGGCTTGCTCCATTGTGACACAGTCAATGAGAGCGGGCAGAAAGACCCAAGGCAGAAAGATCCAAGGCAGTGGCTGGTTTGGGTCTGCGGAGAGTCACTACACAACGGGAGTGGACTACGGAGGACGGCACGGGGTTGTGCGAGTGATCGTAGCTTGCACTAGCGTTCTTACTGCTTGCTGTGTTCACAGAGAAGAGTTTGCAAGAGTTTCCACTAAAGAAGTTGAAAGAACAATTTGCATTGAAAAGTTGATAGTACAATTGAGGCATGCAGAACGATATGACTAGAATGGCATGCAACACCGAGCAAGAGCGAAATCTGCCAGCGCAGCAGACGAGCGGCTTGCCAACGCTGCAGTAGAATAGTCTGCCAGCGTTGCACTACGTGCGGTCTGCCAGCACTGCAGTCGCAGGTGACTATCTGCAGTCGCAGGTTGTCTATCTGCGCAGATGTGCGCATCTACCAAGTAGGTGCAGGTTGATGGTTCCACCATCAAGCACATTGCGCAGGTGCCAGGTAGAAAACGTGTCGTCGGTTTCGCCAGGTGCGCACCGTCAACCACGTGATGCCGTTCCGCATGTAGAACTTCGCCAAAACCTCCTGGGCGAAAGTTCGCACGCCTCCGCAGAGTTTCGCACAACTCTGCGAATTCGGTCAATCAGCTCGACATTGCTCGGTCGAACAACGTTCGCCGAGCAGAGCTCCTCGACCCGAACTCTTCGACCAGAGTTCTTCGACCAGGATCGTCGACCAGCGCTCTTCAACGGGAGCTCGTCACGCAGAGATCGTCGACCAGATCTCGTCACGCAGAGCTCGTCGACCAGATTCTGTCGAGCAGAGCTTGCTTGACCGCAACTTCCGTCGAACTGCAGAAGCCCATTTCGTCGACCAATCCGTCGCGAACTTCTCGTTGACGGCGAGATCGGCGGCGCCCAAGCGAGGGCGGGGCCTTTCTCTTCGACACTCCCCTGCCCAGCTCACGCTTGGGCACCCACACACAAGGTCCACCAAGAACACAGAGGGATAGAATACAAGGAGAAAATTCCGTCTGCGTGCACCCAACACATAGCACGCAGATCATCGCACCAGCCGTGCAGAAGGGCACGGCACCTACTGCTGCACCTCGTCCTCCCCGTCGCCCCCGTCGGCCAAACGCACTTGGCCGATTGCGACGGAGCACCGGTTGAAAGCCGGAAAATGCAGCGCCTTCGTCAGAAAGTCCGCCGGCTGCTCGGTGGTCGGGACGTACTGCAGAGCAATCTTCCCGCGTTTAACCATCTGCTGCAGCCAGGCGTAGCGTCGCTCCATGTGCTTGAGGTTTCCCTTGAGCCCCAAGCCCTCTGCGACAGTGATGGCCGACTGGTTGTCCACGTGCAGAACAGTCGGCTTCCTTGCATCGAGAAGGCGGAATTCTGCAAGGAGGAAGCGCAGACGGCGAGCCTCCTAGCCGGCTTCGGTGGCCGCGACGTACTCTGATTCGGTCGACGAAAGCGTCGCGCATTTGATGCGCTGGCTCGACCAGGAGACTGCGGCTCCTCCGAAGACGAAAACGTAGCCGCCCGAAATCGTCCGACTCTGCTTGTCACCAGCGTCGTCGGCACCTGCATAGCCGACCAGACATAGCGACTCTGATCCGCCGCCGAACTCCAGAGCGGCATCACGGGTTTCAGCGAGGTAGAGCAGATAGCGATCGACCTCACGCCAGTGGTTGTCGCTCCGCACAGTCAGGCCGGATCCGAGCTTGCTGCAGGCGAAGGCAATGTCGGGCCTCGTCGTGGTGGCCGCGAACTGCAGCGAGCCGACCTTCTGCCGGTACTCTTCTTCCTCGTGCGACTGAAACTCCTCATCGTCGAACATCAGCTCTGCGTAGGCGTCGACAGAGACCGGCGTCTTTGGCACTCGCCCGGTCTGCTCCTCGTCGATGAAACGCCGACGCAGCTTGTCGACGTAAACTTGCTGGTGAAGCTACAACTTCCGCGCAGGACGGTCGCGCACGATTTCCAGCCCGAGATACTTCTCGACCGGGCTGATTTCGCGCAGCTCAAAGGCGGCCTCCAGCAGCTCCTTCAACTCCTTCAGCATTGCAGTGCTGCTGCTTGCGGAGAGTAGGTCGTCGACGTAGACGAGCACCCAGCACACTCCGTCGTCGCCGACCTTGAAGTACAGCGCCTCATCAACCTGACTCTTGTTCCAGCCCGCGCCAGTCAGCACGTCGTCGAGCGCCTTGTACCATAGCAGCGGACTCGTACAAGCTCTTCAGCAGCTTGCAGACGCGGCCGGTT